AGGACTCAGCCACCCGCAGTCAAGGGCAGACATAGTGCTTGCCTTTTGATCTATAGTTTTTCAAGCAACTAGCTCAGTCAGCTGGCATTGCTATCAACATTACTCTTTCTAAAGTTGTGAAATATTTGTTGAAATGCTGTCATTCAGATTAATCTTGTTTCTTTTCCTTGTTAGACTTGCCATGATCGTAGTCCTAGGTTATTGTGGTTGGGATATCTTTTAAGCTTACTCAATTGCATTATTCCTCTTCAGTTTTGGGGGGGGAGAGAAATGGATGTTGTGTTGTAGCAAGAAGAATTAGCTATTTAATAATTACTCTGTCTGTTAGTAATAACCTATTTGTCGTAAACATACTGCAGCTGTATCGCCTAAACTATGGCTGAGATACTACAGCGCAAGTGGCTTCTGGCCAGCTTGGTGTGAGACCTCTAAGGAAAGCTCATGATAATGCTCTAATATGCTCTTTGGTGCTTCTGATGTCTGTGGTTTTTTGGAGGGAGGAGCATAGCATCCTATCTTAACCTCATTCCTTCATTCTCATATGCTGTGGGTCTCCTAGTCTGAGTTCCTATCAACTATCTTTGAGTTTTTGATGTTATGGAGGAACCATATTTACAGAAGCATTCGTAGTAATCCTTGTGGATTTTCAGATGAGTTGGCAATGTGATGCCCAGAGTAAGCAGTGTAATGGAAGAGCAAGAATGTATGAAAATGAGGAAAGAATACACAGGGGTACCCTGCTCTGCCTTGCTGTGAGCAGGGGATACCCCAGAAACTTCTAGAAAATAAATTCTCTAAACTTATTTGGAAAATAAAAATGGAAATCAATTAAAGATAGAAGAAGGTTTTATATCAAGTGCAGGTGTAATGGTAAGCCAGCTGTTTTCATTGAATAGATGCTGCTCTTCTGTGTCTTTGAGACATAAGAACAGATGATGTTTTGAAAGGAAATGGCAAAAGCTGCAAAGTGTTTGGTGTTGTGTCCCCCCTGCACCTGAAATATGTCAGCTCCCTCTGTAGTGTTATTCCTTTCTTTTCTTTCCCTCATCTCAACTTCTTAAATTTGGTTTCTTGCTAGGAAATTCAACAAGTGAAAACCCTTGAAGAATTAGAAGCCTTCATGCTTAAGCATGGTGAGAATATCATTGACACACTGGGAGCTGAAGTAGACAGACTTGAGAAGGACCTAAAGGTAAAATTTAGCTGCTTATTAGGGATTGCTTATTCTGTGATATATTTTAAACAATATCACTGCATCTGCTTTTTGGGATTTTGGTTGTAAATATGGGAGAGGGGAAGAGGTTGATAATCCTAATGCAAATGATTCTTCTTATTAACTTAAGTTCTGACCAGTAGCAAGCCCTTCCTTTGCCATTGATACATTTGTTAGGTATTTTGTTCAATTTTATACCACTGTAGAACAGTATTTTCATGAAATGACATCTGATTGTGTCTTTGTTACTCTATTCACAGATTGTCAGGTTATTTACAGGCTGATGAATTCTGTTCTGGTTGTAAAGAAGCAAATTTCAATTTTATTTTTTTATTTCTTTTTAAATTTGGTACTTAGCATTGTAGCAAATGTATCAGTGTGTGATGAGGGCTTTATTCAACATTTTTTGCTCTTGTTGAAGCAGTACAGTGTTTACTTCTTTTATAAGCCTGTCATAACTTTATCATTACTTTTTCATTCTGGGATTTAAATATCCTTTGGAGGCAACAAAGGATAGTTTCCATTTCTAATTTTATAATTATATTGTGGCTGTTAAATCTTAGCTTTTCTGACATGAATACAGAACTATAAGTACACTGAATGCCAGACAAATACAGTCCTGTCACGACTGCCTTTTCCAGTCATCAGGAGACACTGCTCAAGAGCATGTCTGTTCTTGCTTATTATATTTGATAAATATTCTGGTTTTAGTTTCTATCCCTAGAGTGGTGCTGTTTAAAAATAAAAATATTATTTTTGAGTTTAATTGCACCAGCAGGTCCAGTTCTTCATGGTTTTTGAGGAGTAGGATCATGACTAATTATTTTATAAACATGAAGACTGTTTTTTGGTGTAGGGCAGGGATTTTAGTGATTGTGTTGCTGTTGAATATGCTTTACTAAATATGCTAGTCAGATTCACATGCTGGATGACTTCGAAGTTGGTGGTGACTTTTAGTAAACCTCTCATGGACTATGCGATCCATGTAATGACAATAACGTATTTCTACAATATCAGAAGATGTATATTTCTTAATAGAAACGCTATTTTGAATCTCTATAAATAGCTTCAATGGCATAGAACAAATTATTTCAGCAATCTTATCCATTATTCAGGAAAGTATCTGTTAAAACTTTCTTGGTGAGAGAGATATATGTTTATTTGGACAGTTTTATACATAAACTAACTGCCTTCTTAAAATCAAGAGAACCGCTTCATACTTTATAAAGCATAAGAACTAATTTATCTGTGATGTTGAAAAGTATTTGTCAAATAAGATGATGACTTAGCCTTGAAAAATTGCTTATAGTATGGGCAATGTTTGTTGAAGCTATTCCTCATTTTAAAATAGTCCCTATGTTACCAGAAAAGGGGATTTGTTATCCAGTTGCCAACATCATACCAGAAATACATTATTTGTATCCATGTGCAAAAATGTGTTTGAATATTTTCAGTAATTTTTTTTTTTAAATTATTTTATTTCAGCAACGAAATCCTGATGTTCGTCATGTGGATTTGGAGATACTATAGACTTGGCAGAAGAAATCTTCAGGTTGCTACCATTTTGGAAGGAAGTCATGCAAAGGGCTGAAAAGCTTCTGAAATTGCAGTGACCTCAGCTCCATACCTCGCTTACTTTTGCTGTAGGCTTCCTGGACTGTTAGCACGGCTGCTGTTTCTGGAAGAGCACTAAACTCGCAGACAAAAATTTCCATAGCAGAATCAATTTTGAAAAGCTACTTGACTTAAATTCCACAGGAGAGTCTGTCAGAGTATATTTACTGCAATTCAGAACTTAAGACTTGAGGTTTAGTGAAGCAAATATAGCTGCCTGAAAACATAGAACACAGTTTTTCCATTTGTGTCCCTTTGCAGTCAGTTTGCACTTCTTTAGTTTCTTTCAAGATATCATTAAAGGTTCTTGGGAGATAATAAGATTAGCTAGGAAGAGTTTGTTCCAGTGGAACCTGCCAACCTTAAACTAATTATAATATTTCAACTGTGTGATTGTTGCACAGTTTTTCTTTTCTATGAGAGAAATTCTTTCAAACAGGCGCTGGCCTTCTCTCAAGTACCATGACCTGGAAACCTGCTTTTTGCCACTGTTGTGATTACCAGCCACACTTCGGAAAAATAAGGTTTTTCTCCTCAGTGGAGTCAGCTGTATGTGGTTAGCCAGAGTATGTTAAGTTACTGTGAAGAAATTACTGTGTAGAGATTTCAGTGAACTTTCTCTGTTTAAGTTTTGTTCTTTTTTCCCCTACTTTGACACTTGTTCTCTTATTTGTAAGTATTTTCAGATGTAATCTGGGAGATATTTATGGTAGCGCTTATTAAAAGTTACCTGGCATTTTTGGCTTTTTATACTTCTAATAGGCTGTATTGCCAGATACGGTCTTTGCTAGAAGGTGTAAGAGATGTAGCTGGAAGTTACAGTAGTAAAGAAATGTATTAGAACTATTTATAATTAAAAAAATGAATACATTGTATTTTTAATTTATTTACCTCTAGACATTACTTGTTACCTGAATTCTAAACCGCTTACTTTGTGTTTTTTAAGAATTCACCTTGCTTGTTTGGGAAAGTAAAGTAATTCTTTCATTGGTCCTTAACAGTCCTGAGATAAGTGCTTAGAGTTTATAACTTTGAAATGTGCAATTCTAGCACTGTGTATAATCGTCCTGAAGGCTTTCTGCAACAGGCACCAAGTTGTACCAGATTCTTTGAGACCCAGTCTTTATTAATAAGGCCATGAATACTGATTGTGCAAGTTGAAATATAAGTGAAATAATTGCATATAAATAAGTCTGAGGAAAATCCTTTATGCACTTTAATATATTTCAGTAAAATGATAATTGCTCATGGGTGAGAGGTGGTAATAAGACCCTCCTAGTGACTCAGTTGCTGAGTAATGACTGACTTCCTGAAAGAAGAAATGTTGATATAAAACACAAGTCTTCAAAAATCAATTTAAGATTAAATTATAAGCATTGCAGCAAATAATAGTTGTGGAGACCAATATGTCCAGATTTGACTAAAAGCTTTTTAGAAATTTTTTTTTTCATACTAAGTGTCACTTACCAGTGAATTATGAGAATTTAAAATAGCATGCCTTTTGACAACTGCAAAGCACTTTGCATGCTGGTCATTTTAAGTAGAGCAACATTCCAGAGTTTAGTTACAGATGGGACTTCACATACAGTAATTGTGGGTGAAGGGGTCTCTTTAGTACCCTTGTCCATAATCCCTATTCACTGGTGGCTTCTTTATAGCATGTTAGCTTATTATGGCAGCTTGCTTCATCTGGTTTTCTCCTATTGTAGAACTAGTTAGTATATTTAAGCCTGAAGATTTCAAATGCAGTTTAAAGGTAATTTGGAAGTGTACTGTATCAAGAAAGTACAGCCTATTTTAGCACATTATAAATCATTTACCTTTTCTCCTCACCCTTCCATGTAAACTTCATCTCATCTCAGTATGCACTCTGCTGCTGTTAGTCTTGTTCATGAAGAGCACTGGAATCTGATAATACATACCCTCTTTCCTTATTCCTAGAAATATTTATATGGATTTTGAATTTGAATAAACACTTTAATAAATCCGTTATTCCAGAAATCTTAAAGACCTGAAGAGAAGTAAAACTGGGAAAAAGTTCTTACTGGGGAGGTTAGTGGAGAGAGCCAACATGATCAAAGTGGTTTGTATGGTGGAGTTACTGATGAGCGAGTGGTGTGTTAGTATGCACTTTGCAGGGCAGAAATTTCACTGAGAGGTTAGTAAATGTTATCTCAATACCAAAGTGTTCCCGTATCTTGTTTAAGAGGAGGCATGAGTTTATATTCTTACAGGGCATCTGCTCCAAAAGCCTATAAAAAATGTTTTCTTACTCATCAGAGCTGCAACTCGTATGAATTCTGATCTTAATTTCCTTGTCTGAGTCTCAGAAGCATACCCATCCACATACCTTTTGTTTGTATTCCAAGATAAAATTCAGATCCTTGTCTCCCAGTTACGTTACTGATTATAGCATCACAATATGTTAAATTTAAGAAGCCAGAACTTGAATGTTTTTGGGTACGTAACAGTTGTGTAGTTTGAGGACCTAGTTCCATTTTTAAGAACGACCTGGATGGTGATGTACCACAAAAACGTGGGCAGACTGGTTTTGGCAGTACCTTGTAAGTTTACATGTCTTGCAGTTGGATGAAAATACCGATTCATCGAGCCTGTAAGGTTGGAAAAGAAAAGTAATTCCAAGATGTTACATTTTAATATAATTTACAGATTGTTTTTAACAGTTTTGACATTCTTACTGTTTTTTTTCTTAACTGTCTTTATGATCTAAAACTTGAGGTGATGTGGGTCCAGTACTTTCTTTACTTTTAGTGGTTTTGGGTAAGGTGTTTAGCTAATACACTTACATGATAGACTCCTCAGAATTAATGAAAACTTACGAAGTGTGGAGGAGTGAATTTTTTCTTTATCAAAAATGCAATTACATAATGTTTCTTTTAGGTTAATTTTAAGGAAAAGGAGTGAGGATTTAGTTTACATATATTCTAGGATTTTTTCATTAAGGTGTGGTCTTTTAAAATAAATTATTTTTGGAGACTCGCCTTGCAGGTTCTATTTTTTCAAATTGTGTTCAACGTATTACTGCCCTCTGCTTTGTGAAAGATTGCTTATGTGTTGCGTAATGTCTCGTAATTCCGTAAAACTTGCGATGTTTGAAAAAATTGTCTTAGTGTTCCAATATACTGAGTGATCTTAATGTATTTTAAGTCAAAGTTGGCTGGACACTAATAATACATGTTTTCCTATAGAATTTGTTTTTCTATAAAAGGTAAAATTCTGAAGTGATTATCTTTCCTCCATGAATCAATTTTGAGTCTAAATTGCCTCCTTTATACACTGTGGAATTTGATATTTGATGTGGTCCCCCTCCTCCCCTCCAATTTCTAAAGCATTTATTAAGCATATTGTAGTAGTAAATACTTTAGTGGACTGCTGTATTGCAGAGGCTGTTTGCCATGTGTTCTGGTCTAGAAGTAGCAGGGACTCAGGGAACAGGAGAACGTATTTTTTAAGGATGAGTTGCATTCTTTATCCTGTGTGACACATACTCACACTGAAGGTTTTTTAGCCTCTGCTTTTTTTCCTTGAATTCCCACAGATTTTGTTATTTTTTTAATAACACTTACTTTTAGAGGAGGAAGCCATTATGAGCATCTGATGTTTTTAATAGCAGGGCTAGGTGTGCTATTCTTGGTCTCTGGATTTTGTACTGTACTTCTTGTTCATTGATCACTGACAATAGTGATTGCTGTTTTGAAAGCTACAAATCATGTTAGCCAAAACTACCAGAGTTTCCTGATTCTGGCAGGTGCATTTTTTTCAGCTATATCCAGAGACTCAGTTTTTATTGAGACACTTTTGCTGGCCCCTCTTTGATAAGGGGGAATGCAGGGAAGAGTTTTAGGTATGTTTTGTCTAGGTAATACACTGATTGCAATTCTGTATTCTCCTTGTTTGTTATCATTTTAGCTGACACATCTTTTTTCCATAACAAAGAAAAAATTATGCATTATGGAAGTACCTCTACTAATGATGAGTATAGAATACAGGCTTTCTGCAAAGAGGTTTTAGGCTTTTGTATATTGGAAGTGTGGCAATTTTTGAAAATTCTCAGTTAAGTAATCCTTTTTCTAAAGTTGATTTAGATGTGTTTCTTACAAAAGAATCCACAGAAGCATATTGTTTAAGATTTGAAAGAAAAGTATTTCATTTTATCGTCATATGCTCTTAAGGCAGTTTGTCTTGGTAGAATAGAACAATTGATTAATATTGACTACTTCTGTTCTTATTGTTAGCCCTGAACAGAGAGGACAACTAACATCTCTCTTGCAGTTTACCTGCTTAATGTAAATGAGAAGTCAAGGTGTACCAAGAATTTTTTTTTTTTTTTTTGTAGAGGGGTTGCGTAGCTTAAGTAAGTATTTTTTTCCTTCCTTGTTAGTGAGGCACAAATAATTAAGATCAAAAGTAGACTATATTGTGTATAAAAAGAAATAGGAATCCAGGCTTTAAAGCACAATAGTCAGATTTTGAAATGCGTGTCCTTTGAGGAAAATAGAATGTGCCAGGAGCTCTAAGTGGTTGTATGGACTATAGAAACTGCAGTCAATCAGGCTTTCCTGAAGCAAAAGAAAAGAAACTGTAACAAAGTGTGTGGTAAAAAGAAAAGAATACAAGGAAGGAAAAAAAAAGTAAGGTGTTGAGCACTTGGGAATGGGAAAAGATGAACACAGTCTAGAAACTGTGGTCAGAAATAAGAAATGATGATTGGAGAGGAAAAGAACAGTAAGAAATGATATTTGGTTAGAATGCATAAAACTATGTAGTATGACATTCTTTTAGCAATATTCAGATAGCTGGGTGATTCCTCCCTCCCACCCTCAGCAAAGACTCATCTCTTCCCCCCTCCCCCCCAAATGAAAATCAGCGCCTTCGTTTAACTGTTTGCTAATATGGTGTTCAGTCTTGCAGGTATAAACCTATGTGCTCTCTGACAACTTAGTCTTATTGCTAAGGGTGATGGTGTAATCTCAGTCTGGAGCTTTGTTGGTGAGGTATGTATTTGGTGAGTGGAGGGTGAGTCATTTTAACTGCGGAAACAGGAGCTGGAGTGAATTAAAGAGAAAATAAATTGGTTCTTTCAGCCAGTAAATGATTGAAGCACCACACTGTGGATGTTATAGGAAAAAAAAAAAAAAGGGTGGTGGTCTAAGGTCTACAGAATTCTTGCAATGGACTGTAATCTCTGGTGAATATGTTAGTCCATATTTTTCAAGTTGCTTAAATGTCTGTGAATAAGCAGAATTTCTACTTAAATCATCACATTCTGAAAAGGAGTTAAAACATTCAAAATGTAATGTGAAAAGGATGTACATTTTTTTTTTTTTAAATACCACAGACAGGTACTATAGGAGATTATAGTAGATACGCTGAAAACTGTTGTTCTGTCCTATATTAC